TTTTGAGACGGAGTTTCGCTCTTGTTACCCAGGCTGGAGTGCAATGGCGCGATCTCGGCTCACCGCAACCTCCGCCTCCTGGGTTCAGGCAATTCTCCTGCCTCAGCCTCCTGAGCAGCTGGGACTACAGGCACGCGCCACCATGCCCAGCTAATTTTTTGTATTTTTAGTAGAGACGGGGTTTCACCATGTTGACCAGGATGGTCTCGATCTCTTGACCTCATGATCCACCCGTCTCGGCCTCCCAAAGTGCTGGGATTACAGGCTTGAGCCACCGCGCCCGGCCCACTTGCTTGTTCTTTTATTGACAGACATTTGAGTTGTTTCCAGGGAATTTCCACCAAATTTCTCTTGGGTACATTTTGATTTTAATTAGAATTTCTATTATTACTGGTGAGGTTGAACATAATTTTTGTGTTTTTGGTTGGTTCATATTTTTTCTTCTGTAAATTACTGATTCAAGTATTTGCCGATTTTCAAAACTGGGTTATTTGCTTCTTTAAACATTTCTAGAGTTAAGTCGGTTTTTTGTTTTTTTTTTTTTTTGAGACGGAATCTCACTCTGTCGCCCAGGCTGGAGTGCAGTGGCACGATCTCAACTCACTGCAACCTCTGCCTCCTGGGTTCAAGCCCTTCTCCTGCCTCAGCCTCCTGAGCAGCTGGGACTATAGGCACGTGCCACCATGCCCAGCTAATTTTTGGTATTTTTAGTAGAGATGGGATTTCATTGTGTTAGCCGGGATGGTCTCAATCTCCTGATCTTGTGATCTGCCCGCCTCGGCCTTCCAAAGTGCTGGGATTACATGTGTGGGCCACCACGCCAAGTCTTGTTTTTTTTTTTTGTTTTTTTTTTTTTGTTTTTTTTTTTCCAATAAACTGGTTCATTGAAGTATACTTTAAATATCGTAAAATCATTTATATTAAATATATAGTTCAGTGAATTTTAGTAAATTTACAGATTTGTGAAACCATCACCAATATATAATTTTAGAACATTTCCTTCATCAAAAGATCCCTTGTGCCATTTGTAATTGCTCCCTATCCTACCTCTAGCTCCAGGCAACCATTAATCCATTCTCTACCTCTATGGATTTGCCTTTTTGTGGATACTTCATATAAGGGAATTATGCAATATGTGTTCTTTTGTGTCTGGCTTCAGTCACTTAGAATAGTGTTTTGTTGTTGTTGTTGTTGTTGTTGTTATTGAGAAGAAGTCTTGCTCTGTCACCCAGGCTGGAGTACAATGGCACAATCTCGGCTCACTGCAACCTCCACCTCCTGGGTTCGAGTGATTCTTATGCCTCAGCCTCCTGAGTAGCTGGGATTACAGGCGCATGCCACCATACCTAGCTAATTATATTGTATTTTTAGTAGAGGGGGTTTTTGCCATATTGGCCAGGTTAGTCTCAAACTCCTGACCTCATGATCCACATGTCTCAGCCTCCCAAAGTGTTGGGATTACAGACATGAGCCACTTAAAAACACCATAGTATTTTTAAGTCTCATCCATGTTGTTGGAAATACCAGTTTCTTGCTGCCTTTATTGCTAAATACTATTTCATTGTATGAATAGTTCACATTTTGTTTATCTGTTCATCCCTTGATGGAAATTTAAATGGAAATTTTAAAAAATTACTTTATTGAGGCCGGGTGCGGTGGCTTACACCTATAATACTAGCACTTTGGGAGGCCAACATGGGCAGATCAGGAGGTCAGGGGTTCAAAACCAGCCAGACCAACATGGTGAAACCCTGTCTCTACTAAAAATACAAGAATTAGCCAGGCATGGTGGCACATGCCTGTAATCTCAGCTACTCAGGAGGCCAAAGCAGGAAAATCACTTGAACCCAGGAGGCAGAGGTTGCAGTCAGTCAAGATCACACCACTCTACTCCAGTGGGGTGACAGAGAGTCTCTTCTCTCTCAAAAAATAATAAAAATAAAGGGTATAGATCAATGGCTTTTATGTATAGTCATAGATTTGTACAACTATCATTACGATCAACTTTAGGACTTTTCATTCCCAAAAAAGAAAACCCCAGCCAGACACAGTGGCTCACGCCTGTAATCCCAGCACTTTGGGAGGCCAAAGCAGGAGGATCACCTGAAGTTGGGAGTTCGAGACCAGCCTGGCCAACATGACGAAATCCTGTCTCTACTAAAAATACAAAAATTAGCTGGACGTGTTGGCGCATGCCTGTTATCCCAGCTCCTGGGGAGGCTGAGGCAGGAGAATCACCTGGACGTGGGAAGCGGAGGTTGCAGTGAGCCGAGATCACACCACTATTCTCCAGCCTGGGTGACAAGAATGAAACTCCATCTCACAAAAAATAAAAACAAAAAGAAACCCCTTCACCACTTAGCCATCACTCCCAAATCTCTCCACCACCAATCACCCATCCCCTATACATAGGCAACCATTAATCTATATTCTCTCTCTCAAGATTTGCCTATTCTGTATGTTTCATATAAATGGAATTGTAGAATATGTTTTTTTTTTTTTGTAATTGGCTTCTTTCACTTAGCATATTATAACATGGCACCATACTTAATTTCTTTTCATTGCCAAATGGTAATGTCTTGTATTAACATGTCTCATTTTATTTATCTATTAATCAGTGAATCGACATTTAGGTTGCTTCTGTAATAGCCACAATAACATTTTGGCTATTATGAATAATGCTGCTATGGACATTCATGTATAAATTATTGTGTATATTTATGTTTTCATTTCTCTTGGGTATATACCTAGGAATAGAATTGCTGGATTACGTAGTAACTCCATGTTTAACTGTTTGAGGCACTTCTAGACTGTTGTCCAATGTGACCGCACCATTTTACATTCCCATCAGCAGTATATGAGGGTATAAAGTGAAACACATTCTTTCAGATAAGAAGGCAGATGCTTTTGTTTTGTTTTAAGCTTTCTGCATGATATTAATAGATTCATAGGTAGGAAATGCAAACTCATTCTCCACAGCACTCGCTTCATTTTTATTAATTATTATTATTTTTGAGAGAGAGTCCCTCTGTTGCCCAGGCTGGAGTGCAGTGGTGGAATGATCTTGGCGCACTACAACCTCCACCTCTTAGGTTCAAGCAGCTCTCCTGCTTCAGCCTCCCAATTTTCTGGGATTACAGGCACCTACCACCACGCCCAGCTAATTTTTATATTTTTAGGAGGGACAGGGTTTCACTATGTTTGCCAGGCTGGTCTCAAACTCCTGAACTCATGCGATCTGCCTGCCTTGGCCTGCCGAACTGCTGGGATTACAGGTGTGAGCTGCTGTGCCCGACCTCACTGACTTTATTTCTAAAGTGTAATGTTTACTACCCTTTTTATTTAATTTCACTGTTTTTAAAAATGGAGTCTACCATTTAAGGGTTGACCTGGCACACAAATATGGAATCAAATTCCTCAGAGATTAAAAGATGACATGGTGACTATGTGAATATCATGCTGTTTTTATTTTTTAATACCTCATGAATAGACTCCTGAAAAGAGGGATCTTCTATCCTGTTCTGAATATTAGTAGGCAAAGACTTTTCACATTATGGAGAGGTAAGAAATTATTAGTGCAGTCTAGAAGGATGATGTTCTAAATTAGAGAACAGTGGCCCACTAACTTTCAGAAAGACTATGTCCCCTCCAAGAAATAGCATGATGAAAAACTGCTAGGTGGTTGGGTTTGAAGTGTTGGAAAGACTTGAAAGTACTGGCAGGATAGGGGGTAAGACTAATTGTGACTAAATTTTGGTGCAAACCCCTAATAGTATGCCTTGGAAGTCAGTAAACTTAGAGGGAGGAAAAAAAAGCAAATAGATAATTTCTTTCTAGCAAGGGAGTTATCCTCTAAAAAAACAGAGAGATCTGGAAATGATGAATCCTGCCATTTCTCCTCTCCTTGGTCTCCAAAAAGGAGGGAGGAAACCTGCATAGTTTGGTCAACAGTTTGGTGAATTTAAAGCCTCCTGGAGAGGCAAGCAAACCATTAGTTTTCTGTAGACACTTGATTATGCACCAAGAATTGGGACTGTCGTGAAACCAATAGGGGTGGAGGGGTAATTATTCTCTCTGCAAGGTTTTGGCAGCCCAGCTGCAGTGGAAAAACAGGAAATGTGTATGTTGGAGGAAAATGGTAAACACTGGGTAAAATTTAACAACAAAGGATGTGTTGTCTCTATTAACTTTCTGCTAATACTAAATTATAGGGTACAGCTCAAAGGCAGGAAATAAGGAAAATATTGTGGATGGGTATATTGATCCAGCAGCTCACTAGGAAACATGGAGGATAGCAAGAGAGTGTTTAATTTTAGACAAGCATTTGGGAACATTTCCAGCTCGTGCGCTCTCTCTCTCTCTCTCTCTCTCTTTATTCTTTTTAACAGATTTATTAAGATAAAAATTCATGTAGCATACAGTCCACTCATTTCAAGTGTACAGCTGTGTTTTTTAGTATGTTCATAGAGTTTTGCAACCATTTTCAGTCTAATTTTAGAACATTTTTGTTCCCGTTAAAAAGAAACCCATATCCATTAGCTGTCATTCTCCATTCTCCCACTCTGCTCATAGCCTTAGGCAACCACTAATCTATTTTCTGTCTCTATAGATTTGCCTATTCTGGACATTTCTTATCAATGAAATCATAAAATTTATGGTCTTTTGTGATTGGCTTCTTTCAAGTCTAGTCAGATGAAGCAATAAGAGTAGAAAAGGATCAACGAAATCTGTAACTGGTTGTGATTAATTAATTGTAAATACCACTGCACTGGAACATGATATTTTTAAGGTTCATTTGTATTGCAGTATGAAGCAGTACTTCAGTCCTTTTTATTGCTAAAAACTATGCCGTTATATGGATATACCACATTTTACTTATCCATTTATCCATTGATGGATATTTGGGTCATTTTCACCATTTGACTTTTATGAATAATGCTCCTATAAACATTGGTGTACACGATTAGTTTTTGTGTGAACCTACGTTATCATTTCTTTTGCCTACATACACCTTGGAGTGGAATGCTGGATCATGTCGTAACTGTATGTTTAACCTTTTGAGGACCTGTCGTAACTGTATGTTTAACCTTTTGAGGACCTGCCAAACTTTTCTGAAGCAGCTACACCATCTACATTCCCACCAGCAATATATGAGAGCTCCATTTTCTCTACATCTGACCAAAACGTGTTACCTGTCTTGCCTTTTTTATTATAGTCCTCCTAGTGGGAATAAAGTAGTATCTCATTGTCCTTTTGATTTATGTTTCCTAATGGCTAATGATATTGAACAGCTTTTCAAGTGCTTATTGGCTATTTTCGTGTCTTTGAAGAAATGTCTATTAAGACCCTTTGTCCATTTTTTTTTTTTTTTCTGAGATGGAGTCTTGCTCTGTCTCCCAGGTCAGAATGCAGTGGTGCGATCTCAGCTCACTGCAACAACCTCTGCCTCCCAGGTACAAGCGATTCTACTACCTCAGCCTCTCATGTAACTTGGATTACAGGCAGGTGCTACCACACCCAGCTAATTTATGTCTATTTTTAAGTTGGGTTATTGTCTTTTCATTATTGGTGAGTTGAGGGATGGGCTTCTGGCTTAAACAGGTCACTTCAGAGAAATCCTCCTCACTGATCTGTCTCTCCATACTTTTTTTTTTTTTTTTTTGGAAACAGTTTTGCTCTTGTTGCCTAGGCTGGAGTGCAATGACGCGATCTCGGCTCACTACAACCTCCACCTCCCAGGTTCAAGCGATTCTCCTGCCTCAGCCTCCCCAGTAGCTGGGATTACAGGCACCCGCCACCACGCCCAGGTCATTTTTTGTATCTTTTAATAGAGACGGGGTTTCACCATCTTGGCCAGGCTGGTCTCAAACTCCTGACCTCAGGTGATCTACCCGCTCCGGCCTCCCAAAGTGCTGGGATTACAGGTGTGAGCCACCGTGTCCCACCCATACTTATTTTATATTTTTTGAGATGGAGTCTTGCTCTGTCACCCAGGCTGGAGTGCAGTGGTACCATCTCAGTTCACTGCAAACTCTTCCTCCCAGGTTCAAGTGATTCCTTGCCTCAGCCTCCCAAGAAGCTGGGATTACAGGCGCCAGCTACCACACCTGGGTAGTTTTTGTATTTTTAGTAGAGGTGGGGTTTTGCTGTATTGCCCGGGCTGGTCTCCAACTCCTGACCTCAGGTGATCTGCCTGCCTCGGCCTCCCAAAGTGCTGTGATTACAGGCATGAGCCACCATGCTCAGCCCTTCCATACTTTTGATCCTTCTCTCCCCTCTTTCTGGAAGAGCAGTTTTTATAATCCCCAATCTGTTCTCATCTGAGTCTGGTGTCTTCCTTTGGAGTGTGGGTCTGTTTTATCTTGGTACCTCACTTGGCATTTTCACCTTGACAGCTCCTGTCAGGTCCATCATTGCTACCACCCACCCAGTCAGTGGCCACCCCAGAGGCTGTGCGCTAGCTGCAGAGCAGCCCGTGTCACCTTTATACACTATGCTGATCAGACTGGAGCTTATCTGATTTTTCTGATCATAGCAGAATTTGAAGTTAAAAAATAGAAGTTAGACTAAATAAGGCACAATGATAAGAGAATGCCAGCAGAGAGAAACAAAAAAGAACACCAAAAAACTACTCAAAAAGGGCATAAAAATTTGAAAAGCAAAGTTTGTTGGGGCTGGTATGTTCAGTATACTTTGTTTAAAAAAGGCAGGGATTGCATATTAGAAATAGTTCCTCCTAGGGTCGGGCACGGTGGCTCAAGCCTGTAATCCCAGCACTTTGGGAGGCCGAGGCTGACAGATCACCTGAGGTCAGGTGTTCAAGACCAGCCTGGCCAACATGGTGAAACCTCATCTCTATTAAAAATACAAAAAAATTAGCCTGGCATGGTGGCCTCAACTCTGAATGAAAATTGTATGGTGGGAATAGTTATGGGGGAGGCCTTTTTACTCTTGCATCCTTCACTCCAGCAGGGAGTAGAGCAGGTGGTTCTGATACCTCTGGAGGGCCAGATGGAAGGTTCCCCGCATGTAGTTGCATACATAGGTGCTGAATTGAATTGAAAACTTGGCATAGCCACCTGTACTTTATGTGCATAAATGGCTCTCACTTCTATATATGTACCTTATATCTGGTAAAATTATCTAAGACATAAAGGGGATATGCAGCTCAAAACATTTTAGTCCGGTGGTTCCCCATTCTCTCCTTCTGCTCTGAATGCCTGGGGCCTGATCCCTAGAATGCTTAAATTCATTTGTCCTCCCTTGTATGAGAAGGATTAAAAGGGTATTTCTTTGCCTAGAGGTGAAGGGAGGCCTAGATTGCACAGAGATCGGTTCTAGGTAGGACAATATAAGAGAGTTACAATTCCTTATTTGGACATTTTTTGCTCTTAAGAGGACTGGCGAGATTCTGAAATGGGGAAAATGTTTCCTTTTAGTATTCTTCACAGTACTTGCCTGACACTCTTCCTAAAAGCAGAAGAAATGTTAGGGTAGGAAAGACTAGGAGGCACTTAATTAGTTTATTTCCTACATTCTCATTTCCATTTTATCTCTCTGTTTCCAGATTCAGGGAATCTTGACTTTAATTATCCGAGTCTTTTCTCCATCTAATCTTAATGAATTTCTAATTACAGTTATTCTGTCAGATTGGGTATTTGACTCCTCTTTCTGAATTTTTAATTAGATTTGCAGAGTAAATTAGAATAATAGAATCTTAGAACTGGAAGGAACTTCAGAAATAATTTAGTATAACCTCTCACTTTCTAAATAGACTTTATTATTATTATTTTTTGAGACGGAGTTTTGCTGTGTCGCTCAGGCTGGAGTGCAGTAGTACGATCTCAGCTTATTGCAACCTCTGCCTCCTGGGTTCAAGTGATTCTCCTGCCTCAGCCTCTGAGTAGCTGGAATTACAGCGGGGATTACAGGCATGTGCCACCACGTCCAGCTAATTTTTGTATTTTTAGTAGAGGCAGGTCTTCACCATGTTGGCCGGGTTGGTCTTGAACTCCTGATCTCAAGTGATCTACCTCAGCCTCCAGAAATGTTGGGACTACAGGTATGAGCCACCACGCCTGGCCAATAGACTTTATTTTTTAAGAGCAGTTTTAGGTTTACAGAAAAATTAAGTGGAAAGTATAGGGAGTTCCCATATATCTGTCTCCAGACAGCCTGGTACATTTCTTACAATTGATGAACCCACATTAATGCTTTGGTATCATCCCAAGTCCATAGTTTACATTGGGGTTCACTTTTGGAGTTGTGTAGTCTATGAGTTTTGACAAATTAACCCCTCATTTTGTAGTAAAGAAAATAAAATCCAAAAGATTTTGTGAAGTGATTTGTTCCAAATCATACAGCAGGGGAGTGGCAGCAGGTCCAGGGACCAAGCTTTCCTTCTCTTTCACTCTCCTTTTCTGTGTTTAGAAAAGATCATGTTTGCACATGGTACAAATTTAGGAAGGACAAAAAACTTTTTAGTGAAAAGTTAGTCTCCATCTAACCTTGGTTCCTCCACTGGCAATCATTCTTTCTGGAAGTGTCCATGTGTAATTGAACTGTGACCTTGAATTACAAGCAAAAGAGCAAAAGAAGTATCCTTCAAGGTTGTGGGAATTGCAAATGTTAGCTTTTCTAAGTGCTTTGGTTCAGACTCTGTGGTATGGTTTAGCACCTTTGAGCCAGCCAGACCTAGGTTGGAATCCGGCTCCAAAGTTGACTGTCCATCTGACTTTAGGTAACTCATTTAACACTTAAGTTGTAGGGATGAAATAAGGTAACTTGGTGGGTTCATGGCATATTGTAGCACATAAGTGCTCAAAAAACTGTCAGTTCTCTTTTGGTTCAGGGAAACTTGTTTTTTAAAAAGACGATCTTATGCAATATGTTCTGAAAGCATGCACAGTGCAAAATACTTGCTATATTAGGTAACTTGCCTTGTTCTTTTTCCTCTCACAAGTCTTAATTACACTCAGCAAGTGCATTAGAAGTTCTGGAACACTACTATCAAAAAGATCACTGTAATGTTTTAGAAGGCTGTATTTGACTAGTTTAATCTTTAGGAGGTGTAAAATCAAGTTCCAGCCTGTACTGAATTTCAGTGTTAGGATTCAGTCAGCTTGATTCCGAATAGGCCCGTCATGTTTGTATTCCCACACATGTATATCCCTGTAAAAGATAAGCCCATAAGTTAAGAAAATATTTCCATTCACAATAGCATCAAAAATATAAAACATTCAGGAAGAAATCTAACATTTGTATGGAGTATGTATTTCACAAAATCATTTAACATAAATTATCTTAATTGGTCCTTATGCCAAAAGCTTGATGCCTACATTATAAATGAGAAAATGGAGACTAAGAGAGATTTAAATATCTTATCCATATTCACTCATTTAATACGTAATTTGGGGCAGTCACAAAGGTGACAGAGACAAAATTCACACCCAAGTTTCCTGACTACTGACTTCTCTGTGCTCTTTCAACTACTCTACAGTCATCTCTAAGGGATATGCTTAGCAGTGTTATGAAAGTTTATGAAATGAGAAATGGAGCACGTGGCCGGGTGCAGTGGCTCACGCCTGTAATCCCAGCACTTTGGGAGGCCAAGGTTGGTGGATCACTTGCGGTCAGGAGTTCAAGACCAGCCTGACCAATAGGGTGAAACCCTATCTCTACTGAAAATACAAAAATTAGGCCGGGTGCAGTGGCTCACGCCTATAACCCGAGCACTTTGGGAGGCCAAGGCAGGTGAATCACCTGAGGTCAGGAGTTCAAGAACAGCCTGGCCAGCATGGCAAAACCCTGTCTCTACTACCAAAAAAAAGAAAAAAAAAAAAAAAAAAAAGCCAGGAATGGTGGCAGGTGTTTCTAATCCCAGCTACTCGGGAGGCTGAGGCAGGAGAATTACTTGAACCTGGGAGGCAGAGGTTGCAGGGAGCTGAGATTGACCAGTGCACTCCAGCCTGAGCAACAGAGCAAGACTCCATCTTAGGGGGGAAAAAAAAAACACAAAGATTTTTGGGAGGCTGAGGTGGGTGGATGGATCACTTTAGGTCAGGAGTTGAAGATCAGCTTGGCCAACATGGTGAAACCTCATCTCTATTAAAAATACAAAAATTAGCCGGGTGTGGTTGCAGGCGCCGGTGATCCCAGCTACTTCAGAGACTGAGGTAGGAGAATCCCTTCTACCTGGGAGGG